AGTGCACTGACAGATGACAAGGACAGCCAGAACATGGGGTTATGGCTATCTGCAGCCTCAGAATGGTCTTTTCTCGACAAGATCAACGATAAGCCGGCGAGTCCAGCACACCCTAGCAATCTAACCACCTCGGACGTCCAAATGACAATTCCTCCATGTCCCTCGATTTGCTCTTTAGCCCTGGCGGCAAGGCTTTTTGTACCAGTTGTTATTCCATTTGAAGATATAGAGCGTGAAACGAGTGTCTTGACGAGAAGGTGAATGAAAAGTAAAGCAGCGGATATCGAACTAGCATAGGCTGGAACAAGAAGCGAGTCCTTCCAGTCAGTGTTTGGACTGTCCATGGCAAATGCAAGCCACTTTGCAGCTATTCCGTCTTGAAGAATGAAGTTGGACATAGTTGCTGTGCTGATAACAGTAAGGCCTTGGGCCTTAATGTAATGGTTAGGTGAGTCAGTGAGGTTCTGACTCGTCGTGAGATGAAACTATATCTTCGCACATGGCGTCCCTGTCAATTTTAACTCCGAACTTAGACTAAGGTCCAGAGTTTATCATGGCGCTCTGCGTCACCACTAAACACTTCTTCAGCTTTATGGTTTGAATCCACGGTAAAAATCGCTCAATCTCAAGATTTTGGGTTGATTATACGACGGTGAAGATCAACCTTGAGGAGGGTATCTAATGTTTGGTTTATTGGATTGTACGCTATCAGAGCATCTAACTATACCTTAAGCGATGGTCGCTATAAATATGAATAAATTTGCATACGCATCAAATGATGACATCAAACACGAAAGGAATGCCGCTGACGCTGGCTGGTTGAATCGGGGTGAATCAGGCTGAATCAGTCAAATAATCCATGCAGGGTCTTTCTTCACCCTGAATGGTCGTCAAAAAACACCATTTGGATCGACCTCTGGCCTCTTCTGGCTAACCGACCATGATCGAGGCAAGTTCGTAGCGATATAGTGATACCTCATCTATGTGTAAAATGACTCTACGAAGTCGCCATCTTGATTCATCGGCACCGTGAGAGTTACTATCGCTCGAGATAGCTTGATCAAGGATAAGCAGTTCGCCATCGCAGCTCAGTATAATATAATACGCAAGGTTAAGTTGAGCTTTGAGCACCTACCGGCAATGTACACAAGGACCGAGACAAAAGGAGGAATCGACAGTCAAATCGGACTGGATAAATTAGATTATCAATGGATCTTCTCAAGAATGTCTATGTTTGTCAAAGGTGCGCCACCAGCTTGCCCTGACACGAAATCCACAATGAGCTGGGCATGTACAAGATGTTCGAATATTCTTCTATTATATAGGTAAAATTAGGGCAAATAGCGCTATAAACGAACACAACAACTCAGCTGGACTCCGGTACTCTCCTACCATGATGGAACTGAACATTCCAAAAACAGCAATGAAAGATATCTTGGAGCGCAGAATTTACTTGGATATGTACCTCCCGGTATTATTCTTTCAATTGTCCACCGAGGGTAATCATTAAGGAACGTCGCCAGTGAACGCTGAGCATTTCAGTAGCCTGAAGAACATACATGATAAATATATGAATGGCATGAAGAGTTTATGATATGTTACTTGCCATAGATGGCTCTTAGATATGTATGTCAAGTACCTTCATTTGTATGAGCCCATATCGTCCCAAGTTCAATATCAACAGAGTATTGGCTGATTCATAATGATAAGTGTGGATATTCGATATTACGGACTTCATTGAACCGCAAATAAATATAATATCCGAAGTCATTTTTTCAGTTGTAAAGATAAAATACAGGATCAACCTAAAGAAGTCCGAGAATTACAAGCATTTAACACAACGGATGCGCCACAATACTCGACGGCATTTGGAACAAGTACACCTCCACAACCCGTCTCCAAATCAACCACGCACTAACTTTCCCACCAGCAAATTTAAACCTCGGCATCTCCTGACGAGCAACCGTATTCGGATCCTCCCCATTATTCAACTTCATAAATAAAGTCGAAGTTTGGATCGTCCCACACCGAAGGAACGCACAGCTCGTCAGAGCGCCGAATTGATTATCGTTGAGCGAGAACAGACGGTTTGATCAATTTATGAGGAATATCTGCGCATCGTTGTAGAGGAGCTGAGAGGCGGTGGTTTGGGAGAGGGGGAAGGGGAATGTGACTTCGGCGCAGTTTGTTTGAATGGATTTGTGGCCGAGAGTGACGGTAGCGATGCCAATTGGGTCTGGAGCTGGGGAAGGAACGAAGCCTTTGAACGATCTGACGAGGTTGATCGTGGCTGCATTTAGCGAGGTGGCTGTGTTTGCGCAAGTGCCAGAGGTGGATGAAGCAGCTGGGGTGCAGCTGCTGGCGCAAGGGGTGATGGTGAGGAAGAACCAGATTTCGAGGATGGAGCTGCAGCGGCAGGTGTGGAAGAGGCGGCAGCAGTGAGGGTAGAGATCGCGTCGGCTGACAAGGAATCTGCTGCATCGGTATCTGCATCTGCACCATCGCTAGATGCCGAGTCGGCATCCGAGGAGTCTGCGTCTCCAGCGTTTACAGCGGTGCCGTCCGTGTCTTCGGTACCGTCTGTGTCTTCGGTGCCGTCTGTCACATTTGAACCATCAGTGGGATCTGTACCGTCAATATCTCCAGTATCGTCGCCATCTACAGTGCCATCGCCGCCGGTGAGATTGCCAGTATCATTCACGGTACCATCGCCGCCGGTAGGATCAACAGTATCATCTTCGCCGTCATCGGTACCGACTGAGATTGAATCGGCTGTCATCGTCACCAGTGGGACCTAGTGAACCGTCGTCTAATGACCTGTCGTCCTGCGATCCGTCATCCGGTGAATTATCACCAACAGTTCTGTCTTCCAAGGAATCCGAGCGTCTCCCGAATCGCCAGTATCGTCGACCTCAGCGGAATCATTAGCGCCTGCGTCATCTTGGGTGGGATCGTTGTCTCCAAGGTACCAGTGTCATCGGATGTGGTATCGAGTCCAATGGAGTCATCAGGAGTGCTATCGTCTTGACTAGAGTCATAGAAGGTGCCAGCATCATCACCGGAGTCCTCTGTATTGTCAGAGTTATCGAAGCAGGTGTCGTCTTCGCCTGAGTCGTCGTCCTGGCGCTGAAGATGACAACCGGCCATGGCAGGCTCAGCGATGGCGCGCTTCAGACCTAAGGCTACCATATGTAGAAGTTACTGGTACCAGTGAAGGGTTATAATGCGATGTACGATTACCAATGGCACAACGCTTCGTCGATCCAGACGGAACAGGAGCGGCACGTGCCGAGACGATGGCTAGGAGGATTATTGTAAGGTAGCACTTCTTGTGTAAAAGAGAATCGCCTCGTCAAGAAGTGTAAAGTGAAAGAATATCCTAGTTGGAATGAAGAGAAAGTAAAGTAAGATGTAGGGACAAGGAAGAAGAACGAGGACCTCAATATGCACCATTGGGACGGTATTGCACAGCTAACGATGTCGAGATCGAAGCTTGGTACGGGTTTGGCAGGGTCCGGTATACGATCAATGACAGTGCCGGAGGTTCATAATGAAGGTTATATTGGTAGGAGCTTCTAAATACATGAATAACTGCAAACTAAAGTCGAAGATTAGCTTCCGCATCACGGTGTATGGTTCTGCGCGACATACCAGACAATCAACAACTGTGCCGCTTCCAACGAGCTCTAACGACCATTCCTTCCTCCCAACCCTACTAAGAAACAGACACAGAACAAAGAACAGCGACAGATGTGGATCGAAAGCGATAGCTATGATGGATACTTCTCATTGTTGTCCATTGTCAACAGTAGGCGGAGCTATTTGCACAGGATGACTCTTGTGTGTACGTGTACCATCTGCCTTTCAAACCTCAACGTCAATGTCAACCTCACAACGCAGGGTGGTTTCTTTCATGCATGAGTATTACTCGAATATCTTGAGGCTATCCATTTCTAACATTGGGAACCTATATACTGTATTTCGACATACAAATCAGTACGATGTACGACATAAGTAAATATCATCAGATGAGGCTGCGATCCCGCTAACGAAGGTTTATTGAATCCAATGAATCTTTAGATCAAACACGCTATATAAATTAACACATTGACTTTAAAGGTTAATCACTCCGACTATCTAGGAACTAATTAGATATCATAGTGGATCAATACACGATATATACCTGTCCATGGAAAATCAATGCCAAGCCCAAAGCCACGTATTTCCGGTGCAGTTCTGTCACCACATCTTAATCACTGAACTACTGAACAACCCAATTATTGACAGATATCTTCTCTGATTAACACCTCCCCTTGTGAGAACATTTCCCGTAGTCAAGGTGGCACCTGTCATCTCGAGACTCGGGCGTCTTCCCTTTCACAGCTTGTCGTTGATTCGCTTTTTAATAAGTATCGTCGAGGTTTGCTTATATCGTTTGAGGATATCAATGCAAAAGAAGGTTTATAATATATCCTGGTCATATTGGCATTGGCGAAGCCTTGGTGATGCAAATGGTCGAGCGAATGTACAGCATTGTTGTTAATTCTGTATAGATACCATATTAACATACATTAATTATTCCAGCCCACCGAAAAAATCCCAATGGATAACCTTCGTTGTCCACAAGCAACATACCTTCTGGTGATTCCCTTATTATTAATTGTATTTGTAAAATGCGAACCTATCAGCTTTTCTACCACATCTTGAGTACCACTGCCTTCTTACTGCCACAGTCCAGCAAGTATATCAGAAATACAACTAATGGATTGTCATCTGGAAGTCAACAGGTTTTCATTTACTGTGGTTCATGAATATGATGAAATATCATTATAAGAATATAAATACTCTCCTACAATGTTTTACCACTGAGCCTACCATTACTGAGACCCAAATAAGCCACAGCTTATCCTAGAAAAAGGGAAAGAGACCTTACACTAAATATGCATGTTGTTCAAATATTCAAGGATCAGATAGGCAAGAGGAAAAATTAAAATTAAAAGCTCTCCAGCCAGGAATTGAATCCAGGTCTCACACAAGCTAGAGTTGAAGTCATGACAGACATAAATGCTAACCACTATACTACTGAAGATACATCTCAAATCCTGGAGTTACATGTGTACTCTGGTCCCAATATGTGGTAATAGCCTTTGCTTCCAAAGCACGAAGGGCCATAGTGATTTTTAAAGGATTAGAATCAGGGTATTTGAAGAATGATATCTTGATTATTTGTTAAGTTGAGATGAGATGGTCAGTAGATTTGAGAATGGAGCAATATGCACACAACTCATAGTCAGGATGGATTGAGAACAGGATTGAAATTAAAAATATCCAACAACCCACTAATTTATCTCCAGATGACATAAAAGAATCAAAGTAGTCCTATTTGAACAGGGCTGCAGATCTTTATCATAAAATGTCTGTATACTCTCAATGGCAGTTGTATTTTAAGGCTGAAGTGGTAGTAAGTGTCAATTGACAACTATTTATTATACATGGAGGGATTATTGAGTTGAAAAAAGGAGGGGGTTGGGTGATAATTATGTACACAATATATGATGATTTGAAATAGGAGGGTAACCTTAATACAACGGATGATCAAAGATAGATTAAGAGCCTTTCTGAAAGCCTCTTCACACATTCACATGACTAGACAAGTCCAAAGATCTCAGGCAATGCTTCCGACAAACCCTCTTTACATGTGTAAATTGCTACACTCATTCAAATGCTGCAGGTTGCACAAAATGACCAACTCTTGATCAAAGCTTCCATGGTAGACATCACACTAAATAGATTCTTGAGTGTGGGTAGTGTTAAATTGGTTCCAGTGAGGACAGCAGCCGACATCCACTCATTGATACAGCAACTAAACTGTCGAATATCATCAAATGTCATGTGAATGAAGATTGGAAATGCCCCTGAAAGTTGATCCTTACCTTGAAATACTTTGGTCAGGATTTCAGCCCTATCTCTCAATCTGTCAACAACGAAATCCACTGGATAGGAGGAGCATAATGAGTAAAGGACCATCAAAAGATAATGATCCAGGTTATGCTCCAAAACAAGTACCACAAAATTAGCAGCTTAAGTGGTGGAAAGCATGACCTGCCAAAGACTCAAGGTATCTGGGAGTGCCTCATTGAGGAATTCAAGGCAAGCTTTCTTAATGTCCTCAAAGAGATGCTTTGTTGTGAAGCAGAGAATTTCAGTAAAGGCAGGGTTTTTATCATGTTTTAAATCTTGAAATTTCAAGAACCTGTCAATGTCCGATCTGTCGAGACTTTGGTCAGGATTACCAGCACAGTATGTCATACATTGGCTTATGTGTATCCAGGGAAAACCTGCAAGAAATTCTTCATATCCTCCTTCTTGTTCTGCAAATGAACCACTGGATACCCTTCAAACATTTCATTATTATATTTGCCAGGAGCTGTTGGCAGAGAGAACATATTGGTGAACACTTCTGATGATTCAGCCAATAAATCACCAAGAAGATGAAAGGCAGTTGGATGATATAGGGGCATGTAAGGGATTGTCATTGCCAATCCCTGATTATTCTCAACCTAAGTCATCATTGACTTATATGGATGCATGTATGCATCCAAGTTATATATGTATAAGTGATTTACTTCACATCAATCTTTTCTAAGTTGTTATGGACTCTTATGGATACATATGTGTTCACTTAGTACATAATATTATCACCTAATATATATAGTGTCAGGGGACGCCTCCAGATTTCCGCCCGGAACCTTTCCATCTGGAACTATCCCTCGCGTTAACCACCCTCAAGTAGTGATTCCACGCGGGATTCACCCTCAGCACATTCATCAACTCCTGTGGCCGGAGAGTGGGAGGTTTGGTTGGAGACAATGGTCGTCTGGTGGAGGATGTATGCGCATATAATCAGAGCGCATGAGTGATGGGTTGTTTAGCGCCGGTCAGCTTCGAGGATCATTCCATTGTTTCTCCGTTTGCTTCCGCTTCCTTTGTCTTCCTTCTCATTGGTTCGTTCCCCTTTCTTTATTGTTTCCGAGTTCATCAGATCATTGTTCACTTTCCTTTCGGAGTTGGCGTTCCCGTTTCTGGACGGTATATAGTGGGCTCACTCTGGCAGAGGCAATCCAAGTCTTTCTCTTTGGATTTCCCCTCTGCTAGGTGAGATTCCCTTGCATGTATATATTTCGTTTACTTATATAGCTTTGGATTTCCCCTCTGCTAGCTCTGCGTGACGTCCACTCGGCTTCGAGGGTTGCCCTTACATATAGTAGATTATGTAATATAGTTGTATATAATCCTGGGTCAGTGACCAGTGTTGACCAGTTGTCACTTTACCCTGTACTATCTAGCAGCTGAATATATTAGTTGTAAACAGTCACTAGCACAGATGTGATATACTAACAAAGTAAAGACCAGGTCTTTACAGGGCAGGCTTGGGCTCAGGCAATACAGCTGGTGATATTGAAGGGTTCATTGGGGGCTTAGTTTTGAGAAATCCACACATAACCCCAGCACCACAGCTGGTATTTAAAGGTTTATGTGAATATAATTCTTGAGTTTTAAAAATAAATGGAGAGAAGTGAATTTTTTTGCAGTGAAGCATCAGCAATCACCTTCTGTGCCACCTGCTTGTGCCTCTGGCTAGTTTTGACTGAGTTCCTGGTATATCCCAAGCTTCAATTTTTTTCAGCACCTTTCCAAGTCATTGGGGTATATGCACTCTGTGTCAATTGCTCATATGATGTTTTTGCAGCAAGATCTTCAATTCTTACTGGAGTACAGATTGCTGATTGATGTACTTCATCAGCTTGTCACCATCAAATTCAGAGAATTCTGAATTTGATTCAGATGTTCAGATGAGCTCACAGTTGGAGGACAGGCAATGGTTTATTCCTCCTGTTCACTTGCAAACCTCAGGATCCTCTTCATTTCTTGAAATCTCAATAACTTTGTGTGCAGGGTACCATTTCTTATGTCAAGCTTCCTGAGCACAAGCAACTGCTCTAGAATGGCTGTTTTGCTGAGGCATAGTTTTGTCAGATTGGTTTGAGACCACCAGAGACAATGTTAAATCTCAATCTGGCACTGAAGCCTTGTGGTATCTATTTCAGTATAGAATCTAGCTAGCCCTATATGTACATGCATCTTTATATATACAAATTCGATTTTTATAAGGGATTTTTGACTGTTGATTTTTGTTGGCTGACTTGGCATCTGTCCAAAGTGGTGGCCTATAGCCCAAGCACACCATAGAGAGCCATTTTGTGACAGGCATTGACTAAAAATCTGTGAAGGAAACACAAGATATCTTCTGACACATACCTGATAGGGAGGCCCCAAGCTGCATAGTCTCTTCAGTTATTCAAATCATAACAGTTCATATACTGAATTCATACACATGGTCTCTAAGAACATGAAGAAGATGGGCAGGAAGTGAAGATTGAGTGGAAAACAGGAAGGGTGTTTATGTGAACCCTACACACATTTGAGGCCAACCAGCCCATTGGTCTGCATACATCCTCATATATCCTCATACTTAAAAATTCTAAGTGAAAAAATCATGAGGGCTAACACAACTAAGTACTAGCAAAGGTGGAAATGAGAATATATAATTTAGGGATCTTTTCTGACCAGCCAAGAACCTTTGACACCTTCTGAATCTTCAACTCTTCAGGCTTCATCTCAAGTTCTATATCTATTCCATCCACCCCTGGAGCCTTCAAATTGTTTCCAGAATCAACATTCTGTACATGTTGAACAGTTTCAGTATTCAGCAGAGTATTTTTGGGGGGTTAGTGCAGAAATGTTGTAGTCCTGGCATACCAGAATCACAGTGTCAGTCACGTGAGGAACACGTGACTGAATGGCGGCTATATATATTCCAAAAGTCCGCCTTCATTGCTCTTTAGACTGTACAAGCTGGGTCCTATGCATCTCCTCCAGAAGAGAGAGGTATGGCTGATTACAGAGTCTGGGACTCTTTATGGTTACTGCTAGAGTACAGTCCCTGCTGTTATGAACCCTGTAGCAGTATCACAGTAAATACCATGTTACTGCATCTTGTCTCCTTTGCCTCCTCAAATGCTGAGTCTCTTTCATTTAAAAATAAAACAAATATGCACATATTCGAGTAAATGAGGATATGGAGTGGAAGACCAATTAGATGTAAACCTGTTGGTTCAAAGTTGGGCACCACACCAGTGGTATCTATATTTTTTGTAGAATGCCTGTCACAAACAGGACATGTCCTGCAGAGTGGTATGTGAGGGAACCCTTGGAAATTCAGTCCACTGCATGTGAGCCATCTGTAGGATGGTAAATCGCCATATTTCCGACATATCTACAGGACAGGTAATGGGTGAACTCTTTCGATACACAATGAACTCCTGCGATGGATCTGTATGACTTGTCAGACCTGTTGGTTGCAGATAATCCTGCAGGCCCATGTATAGTTTCACCACTATATGGACATTTGATAATTATAATATAATATATCTATCCCACAGTGAAACACTGTGCTCTAAAATAAATCAGCCTCACCCAACAATAAACCTATATTTATCTATATTCGGTGAGAGAAAACCACTGCCAGAACCACTCACCGAACCAACCACGGGATCTCTACAAATGGGGAATCAATGATAGAACCCTGGAGATCCCGCCATGAGTCAGGAAATATGCAGCATGGCTCGCCACGCCCCGGTATATCTAAAGAGGAGGAATCATATGGTCATGTCCTACAGATCCTGCTGTCAACCACAGATTGCAAAATACCAAGAATGACTCACAATGCCATGGCAGCTCTGCAGATGAGGAATCGGATGGCTTCATCCTGTAGAATATGCTGTCCACAAGCAACTGAAATCTTTCCAACAAAATTTTCCACCTTCTTGCACCTTCTTTCAGTTCTCCTGACTGCCTTTCGAGCCTCTTGCAAAGCCTTTTCATGGGATCTGGCAATGGCAATCTGGATGTGTAGTCGGGACTTTAGTCTCTCCTCCTCGATGTTTCTGTGAAGGAAAGGCAGAAATTTGAGCATAGGACATCAGGTTTATAATATTGAAATAACTTTTTTATTAGAAGACAGACCAA